TTTGCCTACCAACGCACTTGGAAGCCTTTCAATCCAATTCTTGGAGAGACTTATGAACTGGTTAACCATGGAGGGATTACATTCATTTCTGAACAAGTGAGTTATTCTCATTAAAGTTTTTTCTCTGGAGAGGGTGTTTAGGATTGTTTATGAGCACTAACAGCTTTTAAGAAACTTAGGTTACTTATATAAATGCTTATAAGCAAATAACAGCATAACGTTTTGAAGTTCTAAAAATATGTACTCTTAAGTGCTCATAAGAAACAATCAAAAAATTGGTTATTCCTGCTGCTTATATTTGACATGGTTTAAGCAGTTCAGATTTGTTAAATAAACTCTTCGAGGTTATAAGTTAGCGCCCCCTTTCCGAAAGCAGTTTTTTCCCCTCACTTTGATTGATTTCTTGGTTCTGAATCCTGGTACATTTAACTCGATGAATCTATTTGTGCTGAGCTAGTAGCTTTTGGATTCCTTTATTCGCTAATTCGAAGTTTTGTAATTTTTAGGTGAGTCATCATCCTCCTATGAGTGCCGGACATGCTGAAAATGAGCATTTCACATATGACGTCACATCTAAGCTAAAAACTAAATTTTTAGGGAACTCTGTTGATGTCTATCCTGTTGGAAGGTAATGACATATAATTGTTAGTATCATTTTTGGTTAAATATATATTTTCCTTCAGTCATTCACATTGACAATCCTCTGTTGATCTTCAGCTTTTCTTCATGTTGAATTCAAATTATTTGTCTCTTGTTAAATGTATAAACAAAAATTGTGGTCTGATCATTGTTGTTTAATGCAGAACACGTGTGACTCTTAAGAGAGATGGTGTTGTTCTAGATTTAGTTCCACCTCCGACCAAGGTTAACAATTTGATATTTGGACGAACCTGGGTGGATTCACCTGGAGAAATGGTCATGACAAACTTGACTACTGGGGACAAAGTCGTTCTTTATTTTCAACCTTGCGGTTGGTTTGGGTATGTTGGTCCTCATTTCACCTTTCTTTTCTTGACTTCCTTAGATATGATTCTCTGCATTGGTATCTTTGCGACTTTCAGAACAGTAGCTTTTTCTGGTACTTTTAGCTGGAAGTCCTTTTTGAAAATTTGATTCAACTCCACATTTTTTCTTGTCACGAGTATAACTGGATACATTATTATGCAGAAGTTAGCATTAGAGAGTCTCAGCTGATAGGATTCTTGTTTCATGTACTGTGTGAACATAAACTTCCAATTATGTTCCTGAGACTTAATTTTTTGATGCTTTTGATCCTTTCAACTGGTTCCTAGCTTTGTGGGTAATGATCATTTGTGGTTAGATTTTTTATAATAGTACTGCATAATATAAGAATTTCTCCATTCTCCTAAATTCTTATTAGCTTATCTGGTAATGAATTTTGTAATCTATGCCAATAATCATAACTAACAACCTTGAGTTGCACCAAGCGGGACTAAGAAAATTTGGCCCTTGATTGAGGCCTTTGTTTTTTCTCTGCTAGTTCTCTCTCCCTTTTTCTAACTTACTTGTTGGGTAATCAATTCTAATAATCATAATTTTCAATCTTGATATACGCCAAACAAGAAGAAAGAAATACTGTCCGTTTGATTTGATTCCATTGGATGTAGAGGCTTTTATTTACTTTAGTAATTCTTTCTCTTTCCTCCCTACATGTATGTGTTTGTATTTTCTGAGTTTGTGTATGTTTATTTCTTTTCCTTATTCATATGCAGTCAGAAATGTTTGTTATGCATGTCATGTCCCCAGCTGTTTTTTGATGTTAACAGATCTTTTTTATTACAGAGCTAATCGTTATGAGGTCGATGGGTATGTATATAATGCTGATGAAGAACCTAAAATATTGATGACTGGAAAATGGAGCGAGTCCCTGAGTTATCAACCATGTGATTTGGAAGGGGAGCCTCTTCCTGGCACAGAACTGAAAGAGGTAAATTTTGTAAAAAATTCCGATATTTACTTTCTAAATATATTTTCTGGTAAAAGACCCAACCTATTTTTAGCAATGTGAACTGGAGACTGCTATTTCCCGTATGTTGATGTATTTCTTCATTGCTCAAATCACGGATTCATTCCTATGGAGGGATTTGAAATTTCATTATTAACTTGGGGCTGAGGGACTGCTCTGTGATGGTATTCTTGTTGGCTTTCTTGATCATATGGACTTCTCATGGTTTCTAAGCTTTTATATGAAGTTTAAACATTTAAACTATGATAAGCAATCATCTGCAAAAGTATCCAAACTGTATTTAAGCATACTAGCTTAGCCGTTAATTATTGTCTGGCTGGTGGATTGGTGACTGGAAATGTTTGAGCAGGTTTGGCATATTGCAGAAACTCCAGCAAATGACAAATTTCAGTATACCTACTTTGCGCATAAATTAAACAGCTTTGACACTGCTCCCAAGAAGTTGTTGGCATCAGATTCCCGTTTGCGTCCTGATAGATGGGCACTTGAGAAAGGTGACCTCTCAAAAGCTGGTGCTGAGAAGAGCAGGTCTCTCTCTCTCTCTCAAGAGTGTGTGTGTGTGATCAACTATTTACTTGTGATAGGTGTAATTATTTGCGTCCCGCCATTCCTCATGCACAAGTCGATCAGTGGTTCTAAATTAACATACATAATTGGCAAGCATTTGAACTATCAAGAAGAGTTAGTCATGGTCATTTTTGCTATTATTATCATAATTTCCCAAGTTGTAATGTTCAGAGTTCAGTATCTTATGTATCAAATTGATCATATTACCAATTTGAATCATATGGTGTATCTATAGAATACACATTGCAGCACCCCTTAGTATTCATCTCTGCATCTCAGTATCTTAGAGAAAATGAAAGAAATATGCTGCTCGTTTATTTTTTCTGAATATCTGGTTACAAATGAACCATCTATGCATGTATAAATAGCCAAAAGAAATGCCAGTTGTCCTTACTAATTTACAGCAGGTGGAAAACAAACAAACTAATGATTTACACGTGGAAAAGAGAGAAAAAAAAGAAGAATTACAATAATTCCTAATACTCCCCCTCAAGATGTGTTGTATATATTCTTGACACACATCTTGACTAGCAAAGAATTGAGAATGGATGCAGGTAATGGTTTAGTAAAAGCATCAGCCAATTGATGCTGTGATCGAATCTGAAGCAGCTTAACCAATCCAGCAGTA